CTACCAGAACAAGTGTCGCCTGATCCGCGGCTGGGACGATCTGTTCAACAAGGTGAAGGAGCACATCAACAGCGTGTCGGCCATGAAGCTGTCGCCATACTATAAGGTCAGAAACACACACACACACACACATCTGTCTATCAGTGAACACACACACACACACTGGCCCTGCAGGGTGTAACACTGTGTGTGCGCAGGTGTTTGAGGAGGACGCTCTGAGCTGGGAGGACAAGCTGAACCGCATCATGGCGCTGTTCGACGTGTGGATCGATGTGCAGCGCCGCTGGGTTTACCTGGAGGGCATCTTCACAGGAAGTGCAGACATCAAACACCTGCTGCCTGTGGAGACGCAGCGCTTCCAGAGGTCAGAGGTCATCTCACACACACACACACACTCCTGGTCTGATTGAAGGGACTGTTCACCCACACATGACTGTTCTCACTGTTTACTCTCCCTCGAGGGGTTTCAAACCTTCTGCTGAACACTAAAGATGTTTAGAGAAATGCTGAAGCTGCACATTAGCCAGGAATCCTGTTACTGCGTCCCAATCAGCCGTCCACGAGTCGGCCATGCAGAAAAATCTCCTCAGGGTCTCCAGTATTATGCAGAATTCAGGAGTTTATAACTGAACAGGTCTTGACAGAAGTTGACGGTGTTGCTGCAGATGAAGTATCACTCAGAAACATGACTGAAATATTCTGCAGTGGACTGGATATTAAATATTCAAACACCTTTCCCAAAGCATCTCTACTAGACTGTTGGTCTCGTGCAGACGCCATGTTTGTAGTTTTACACTTTTAACCTGCATTTGTAGTTTTAACTAATTTGACATCTGTCGAACAGTCAGGGGGACAGTTCTGTTTTCCTGTACCATTTAGGACTGAGAGGATGTGAATGGGGAAGTCAGTGGTTACAGGGTTTCAGCATTTTTCTAAGTATCCTCTTTTGTGTTCAACAGAGGAAAGAAACGGTTTAAAATGAGTGAAGAGTGAGATGATGATGATGATGATGATGATGATGATGATGATGATTATTTCTGAGTGTGTGTGTGTGTGTGTGTGTGTGTGTGTGTGTGTGTGTCAGCTGAGGCTCATGGGTAATAATACTAACGCTCTAATGATGAATGGCCGTAGATCACGGAGCTGGTGCACCAGAGAGACGTGACCCGAACCCTCATCAAGAACAAGATCGATAACCCCAAGTCGTTCGAGTGGCTGAGCCAGATGCGCTTCTACTTCGACCCCAAGCAGACGGACGTGCTGCAGCAGCTCTCCATCCAGATGGCCAACGCCAAGTTCAACTACGGCTTCGAGTATCTGGGGGTGCAGGAGAAGCTGGTGCAGACGCCGCTCACCGACCGCTGCTACCTCACCATGACACAGGCGCTGGAGGCCCGGCTGGGGGGATCCCCCTTCGGTCAGTCCACACACACACACACACACACACACACATATACATACTCTCTCTCTGCTGGGGGAGATTAGAGCTGCAGCTGACTGTGTGTGTGTTTGTGCGCGTTTGTGTGCGTGTGTGCGTGCGTGCGTGTGTGTGTGTGTGTGTGTGTGTGTGTGTTTCTCCTGCAGGGCCGGCTGGAACTGGAAAGACCGAGTCTGTGAAGGCGCTGGGGCATCAGCTGGGCCGCTTCGTGCTGGTCTTCAACTGTGACGAGACCTTCGACTTCCAGGTGCAGTAGACACATGCTGATATTATATTTATATATTCACTGGTCAACATTTAAAGTGGATCAAAACAGTTTTTAAAAGCCCAAACTCCTTCACACCGGCACATTCTTGGTTCCTGTAACTCAACTATACTGGCGTGTCTCCACTGGTGCTTTTGCCCATCTATCTTCAGTGATGAGTGACTCTTCAGGCTGGAGAGTCTCCTCCATCACCCTGCTCTTCCGCTCCTCCACCCATTCTTAATTGGGTTTAAGTCAGGGCTCTGGCTAGGCCACTGCAGAACTGTTTGTTTCTGTTAATCATTCCTTCATCACATTTGCTCTGTGTTTTGGGACTTTGTCGTTAGAGTTGG